GTGATTTATAAAAAATCCGGGTCCAAAAAATTGATAATTTGACTATAACTTCCGAACTAGCAAATAATCCCATTATCGGGTAAGTGGATCCGGGTCCAAAACCTGGACTTTCGGGTCAAAAATCGGGGGTCCCGAGTCCGTCCCCAAGAAAAAAATAGTTTCCCGGAATCAGGGTAAAAATACCTACCTCTGGAAAAAATTGAAGAGTTTTTACTAAACTAGAGTTGTTCCCAGAATGGATGTTGTTGTTTTTAATTTTGTTGTCAACCCATCTCTTTATAGATTCCCAGTCTGCGCTTTTGTATTGTGGAATTTGACTGACATTTATAATACTTGACCCGAATATATGACGTGAAATCGGGACAGGGTCGGAGTATAACATTTCAGGATGAGTTTCTATCGGTGATAAATGCAAAGAGGTGTTAGTTATTACAATATCCACCACAGAAGGTTGGATTGGAGTGAAAATTTCGCCAAACCTCGTAAAAGAGCTCGGATAATATATAAAGTAATTGGAGGCAATTTGATCGTTATATAGAGCAGTACCAGCAGTATTATTATCTAGACAATTCCAACTTGTGTGTTTGGCATTAAAATCACCGAAAATAATGTACTCTTCTGCACCAGCTGTTATTTTTTTACATCATCTATGAAATGCGGTGAGTATTTAGGGCAGTACGCCCCTGTTAACCGGATGGGCCTGTTATTTATGTTAATAACAATTGATACATTTTCTATTGTAGAAGTGGAAAACTTTGGAATGCGTCGATGATTTATGGAATTTCGTAGTGCAATTAAAACTCCACCTCCATGCGATTGCCGGTCCTATCCATAAATTTTGTAACCCTGAAGAGCGGGTGGAATGGACTACTTGCAAGCGATATCAGAAATACACTTCTGGTTTTTATACCCTACAACACTATGTGTTGGGGGTATTATAAGTTTGAGTGGACCAAAAATTATGTAACACCTCGAAATATTGGTTTCCCACATAGGAAAGTATATATGGATCTTCCTATCTCGCCGAGCTGAGTCGATCTAGCCATGGTACAATGAATTCAAGGTAGGGCAATTTTTTTATTTTTCTGGCTTAATATGTCAACTTCATTTGTTTATGTGTGCGTATTCTTTTCAATAATAAAAAATTGTTCAGAAAATATTCAAATTCTGGTGTTTTCACAATGCTTATTGCAACGTATGCATCGACAAAGTCTTCAGTTTTTGTCGCGAAATAAACCATAAGAGATATATAGAACATGATTTTGAAAAGAAGTGTTGACCTTTCATTCAGTTATCGTGGTTTTCAATTATTTATTCAAAATAAATGCAACAAGTTGTTTGATTTTTTATTGTTTTGATACTAATTCTGACATTACAAGCCAAACAGGTAGACCTCTATACTTGCAATTTTTTCAAAGTTGACCTACCTTCTCTTCATTGTACCATGGATCTAGCTATGTATGTCCGTCCGTCTGTCCATGTTAATTTGTAATCAAGCTACAGGTCGCAACTATGGCCCTATCCTCACGAAATTGAAAATGGAGGTGGGGTTATGGTCAGAATAGAATCCTATTGTTTTTGGAGATGATTGCACAATATTTAGGGGTTGAAATGTACCAAAAACAGAAAAATTTCATGATTTTGCCATCGGACAATATTTAGCGGGTAAAATAGACCCTAACTTTTATGTAAGGAAATAAGAAAATTTCCACTAAACCGCGAATATTTTTAATCCCAGCCATATCACAAATACATTAAAAGGTCACTTCTGACCATTAAAGTGATGCTGATAGCCAAAAAATCGGATGTATAGCAAACTAGGTATAATATATATGTAAAAGAATAGACCTTATTTATTCTGCTTATAAGTCGAGAACCGCTGGGCCGATTTTAACAATTCCCATCAATTCGGAATGGTCTCTTGCCAGAAACGGATAAAATCTAGGAAATTCGCGGAAAAATATTGCAAGAAAAAAGTTAATATCTTTTGTTCCATTTTTTTCAATTTTTGTCAAATTTTTTTTCGGATGCGATTTTTTCAATTTGACTTCCAATTTTGAATTGTAAATTTTTTAAATTTTCACACTCCGCAACACTACGTTCTGAGGGTATTATATGCATGTCACAATTATCGTCCGATCATCACGAAATTTTGTATGGCGGTAGGGTTAGGGTCAGAATTAAAGCCTATTGTTCTTAAATGTACATTTAGGGGTTCAAATGGACTAAAAAAATAATAATTTTCTAATTTTGTCGTCGCTCTATAGATCACAATTGAAAACTAATCGACACGGAATTTTGCATCAAAAGAGATTTAAAGGGCATTATTGTAGTGTTGTAGGGTATCACGACCATAGCCTTTGCTTATTTGTTTATTCTGATTTCGTTGATAAATATAGCCAAATATCGTACACAACCATATCATAAAGATGAGTATAAATTTGGAGAAACAGAGGAGTCTCTTGCTTTTAGAGATGATCGCAAAATATTTAGGGGTTCAAATGAACCAAAATCAGAAATCTATTAAATTTTTTGCAATGAATGTTTATTTCTATTTAGAAATTACTATGGAGTTATTTTACTTATAATAAAAATTGTGCCGCTTATATAATTCAGATCTGTGTTCTATAAAGCTTTAGAAAATATGCATTAAAGACTAAAAGTAGGGGGCGGCAAGGCGGACCGGGCCAGCTAGTTAATATATATTTATTTTATTTTTTTACTTTTATTCCTTTTCTCTGCCAACCTTTCTTAAGTTATTAGTTTAGTAAATAACCTCACTTTATTTTGTATATATGCAACAAAGAACCCTTCAACTGTGTTTTATGATAAAATTAAGAATGTAATATTTCCATTTTTTCATAATTATACATTTGACAACACGTTAAATTTGACATGGTAGATTGCAGAAAAATGCAGAGCTGGATGTAATTTTTTTTTGTCATGAGATAACCTTGATTTAATTGTACCATGCTCTTTTAAATGATTTAGAAAGTTGGAATTCAACATTATTTCGCAGCAATTGGTATGTGTTCAAAGCCAAGCATTGAAACCCCAATACATGTTAGAGGCACAACATTTATTATTTTCCCCACTGGAAGAATGTTCAAGTTGAGAAATGAGCCGTGGTTGATGAACCAGCATTTATAATAGAGTCTCCGGAATTGTTGGGAATTTAGTATTTGAAGTTCGTCCTTCCCTTCTGCAGAAAGTTGACAAGAGAGATCAACTGTTATGTAAACCCCCATATAACAATTCTGCAATTCGTAGTAAGTACTAATATCTCTGACAGGAAATAATGTTCATATTCTTGCGTTCACACATCTTAGCCTATAATGTAAGCCCCTGTCACCCGGTATTTTGATAATTTTATCCACACTGAAATTTGGTATTTGCGGTTCAAATTTAATAATGTTAGTCTGATTTTTAAATGGAAAATTTAATATTTGAAGTTCACAATGCATTCATAATGATTTCCAATTGGTAAACTCAAAAGATGTGGAGAGAAGAGAACTTTCCTCTTCGATAAAAGTTGCTTTGCTATGTAAAATTTCAAACGACGATACACGTGTCTTATTTTCTAAGTTCTACTTTCATATTCTACTGAATTTTTCCTGTAATTGTTAAGTAATTTCATCATGTTGCACAGTTTGTCCTTCCGAGTTATTTAAATTGTATTTATCAATTCAATGATTATCCATAATATTTTTTTGAGAATTTGTAGGACAGAATTAAGGTGACGACACATAAGTAGTCTGGCATCATGGCATGTAAACGTTTTTTTTTTTTAATCTTTGAAAACAATAGGTCTAGCCCTTCTGAGCCTAACCCTGCCCTTGGACGACAATTGCAATCTATATATAACACAGGTTGAAAAAATATTACATAATGTACACTTCAATATTATAAGTCAAATTATAAAAATCACATGCGATAAAAAATAAAAAAACGCACACAAAATACTACAAAATTAACATCATTATTAACATCTTTTTATGCGATTGTTTTAGATTGACAAAATCTGCCAAAATCGGTCCAGTCATTCTTGAGATATAAGCATTCTAGATTCCCTTCCTTTGTATATATACATTGTATATATTTCGCTATATTTATCCGATATATTTACTATCGGCATATATGTAACGGTCAGAATTGACCTTTTCGTCTATTTGTGATTTCGCCGGGATTAAAAATATTTGCGGTTTAATGGAAAATTTGACTTTTATTTAACACAAATGTTATGGTCTATTTCACCCACTTAATATTACCCGATGATCAAAATTGGAGCATCCGCATCACTTGGTCCATAATTATGACCTGTAGAGCAACTGCAAAAAAGCAATAGGCGTCTATTCCGGCTCTAGCCTCACATCCATTCTAAATTTGGTGAAGATCGGGCCATAATTGCGACCTGTAGAGTGATTACAAATTAATATGGACAGACAGACGGACGGACGGACATACATAGCTAAATCGACTCAGCTCGGTGAGATAGGAAGATCCATATATACTTTCCTATGTGGGAAACCAATATTTCGAGGTGTTACATAATTTTTGGTTCAATCAAACTTATAATACCCCCAACACATAGTGTTGTAGGGTATAAAAACATTCAATTAAAAAATAGCTCTCATATATATTTCCCATTCGATTCAATAAAATTTTTAATATAAAAATAGTCAACACACCCAACTTTTCTTACTGGATTAATTTTGGAAATGAGTGACGCCAGTCGGGGGATATGTTGAAACTTTATTTCGTTTGAAATAGCCATCAATTTTAAATTTCAGTTCAGTGAATGAAATATACATTGGCAAAGTAACCTTGAGCGGTGGATGACAGCTCTTTTAGATTATTTATCTATGTTTCAATGTTTCAAAAATTTCAAAATACTTGGTTTGATGATAAAGCGGTTGAAACAATGTCAATACATTAAAAAAAAAAAGTCAAGCTTATAAGGCCAAAATCTGTAGGTAGAGATGAACAACGACAAGAAAATGTAATTGATGTAATATGTCATTCTTTATTGAATTAATAAATTAATTGTATTCTAAATATGTTGGAAGAAAATATGAAGAAAGGGAGAAAAAGACTTAACTTCTATCAGGTTTAACAGCATCTAATGGCACAATTCTCTTTAAAACAAAAATTGAAGGGCCATCTTACTTCTTCTTGGCTGGCAAGTACTTTTGAGAGGGGACAGTGGCAAAGTTGGTAGCACCAACAGAAGATTGGGAAGAGGATTGGAAAGATTGTTGAACGAATTGTTGTTGACCACCGAAGCTGTTGCCACCTTGGAATGTGGCGGAGCCCAAGTTGCTACCCAAGCTGCCACCAGCGCTACCACCCTGGAATGAAGTGGTTCCAAAGTTACCACCCAAGTTAGTACCAGCATTGCCAACATTGATAACGCCACCACCAATGACAGAGGTAACAGGAGCGACACCTTCATCGGAAATGTGAGTGGAACCACCCAAAGAATCGTATTGAGCTTGGATTTCTTGTTGGGCACGATTGGCTTCTTCTTGGGTTCTGTACTTGATGAAGAAGACTTCGGGTTTGTGGGATTTCTGTTCGTTTTGAACAACCGACAATTGGTTTTGGAGGTCTTTAAGGTCGGGTTTCTTGGACAAGACATAGATGACGGTCTTTTCTTCGTTGGAAGCTTGAGCACGTTTCAGGGAATCCAAGTTCAATTTAAGGTTTTGGCTTGGGGCCTTAATGAAGACAATGCGGTAGTTTTTGCGGATGGGTCCCAATGGTGTGTCGGCAGCGTTGCCAATTTCCTCAACTTCCTCGGGGGCAGAGTGAATGAAAATGTCCTTGGAGATGATAACTTGTTGTTGGGGCTGAGGATGAGGTTGATAGCTGGGTTGGCTAACGAATTGTTGTTGTTGTTGAGCAGCAGGAGCAACGAATTGTTGTTGTTGTTGGGCAGCCGGAGCAACGAATTGTTGTTGTTGGACAGCAGGAGCTGGTGCAACAAACTGCTGTTGGACGGGAGGAACATATTGGGGAGCTGGAGCTGTGTATTGTTGAGAGAATTGAGGAGCTGGGGCGGGTGCTGGTGGAAGGTTAACCTGAACTGGAGCTGAGGCACTGAACGAGGCCAAAGGAGGCGATTGGACTACGGAGAAAACAGCATTATTACTGGCTGGTTGAGAAGGGCGGAAGCTTTGTTGCTTAAAATTACCTCCTAGAGCAGGACCGGGTTGTGCCTTCTGTGGCTGTTGATAGTTGTAGCCAGGTTTGGCTGAAGCTGATGCCACCAGGGCAACACACTTTAGAAGGGAGAAGAATGCAAACAAATTAGGAAACAACATTTACAACTCCGCCGCTTGTGAAGAACTTACCAAAACTACAAAGAATTTATTCATATTTCTCTAAAAGGGTGCTTCCCAAGATGCTGTTTGAATGAACTGAATGATTGAACTGATGCCCTTCTCTGGTCTGACCGAAACATTTATACTATTACAAGTGTTCCCGCCCTACAATTTGAATAACAGCATTTCTGTAACTGATCTGCCTCAAAAATAACAGCAGTGTTATTTTTGAGGCAGACGTAGCAGTGTGTTGTAACAATCCCAGTTTGTTGCAAAACGTTTGTCTCTTTCTTCTGTTTCCAAATGCCAAACAAACAAAGTAGACAAAACTGGTCGCACATTTGGTCAATATAATAAATTCATAATATTCAATTTGTTTCAAAAGTCGCTATGTTGTTAAAATGCATCTTAGCTCACCATCATCATCGTATCAAAACAAAATCCAAACAAAAATATTTCTTTTCAACAAAATATTATCTAATAATCCCTTAAAATTCACATAAAAATACCTGAAAATGGTCGTCATCCCATTCAAAGTCATCCCATTGTGGTCCATTAAAGCGAATTGATTCAGTTTGTCACCTTGAAATATAATTTATGCATAATATTAAACCAAAACTATTTTGTGGCTTCCACAGCAACTACAACAACGTCGTAAGAGAATCACATTTCTTTCTTTACATCTTCCCACTGCTTGCTGGTTGTTTCGTCGGGAGAAACACATTTGCCCATTAGCATACGGCATTAATCGATCGATGAGTGGGAAACTAGTTCGTTGCGTTTATTCGTCTGTTCGGAATTTGTTTAAAATTGCGTCTATCTTCTGGTTACACTTTTAGTTCAGCTTCCGATTTCTTGTTGGCAAGAGGAAATGGATATCAACCTGCATGGCGATAAGAAATACTTCAAATTTTTCCTATATTTACAAAGTTGCTATAAGTGTTGAATTTTGGACAGTGACAGTAAAATCAACATCACTGGAGAATGTTAGGTGTCCCATAATTTTTTTTTGCCATACCTAAGGTGGAATAACATATAACTGGTCATGTGAATATTCACAACTTATTGGAAATGTACAACGAAGTTTTTGTACCCTACAACACTATGTGTTGGGAGTATTATAAGTTTGATTGGCCCAAAAATTATGTAACACCTCGAAATATAGGAAAGTATATATGGATCTTCCTATCTCGCCGATCTGAGTCGATCTAGCTATACATATCCGTCCGTCTGTCCATGTTAATTTGTAATCGCAATTCGCAATTATTGTCCGATCTTCACGAAATATAGAATGGAGGTGGGGCTAGGGCCAGAATAGAAGCGTATAGTTGTTGGAGATGATCGCATAATATTTAGGTAGTTGAAATGGACAAAAAACTGAAAAATCTCCTGATTTTGCAGTTGCTGTACAGGTCGCAATTATAGACCAATCGACGCGTATGTTAGCATGGGTCTAGAGGTTATGGCTGGGCAGAATTCTTCCAATTTTGATGGTCATTGGTTAATATTTAGTGGGTGAAATAGACCATATACTTTGTGTTAAATAAAATTCAAATTTTCCATTAAACCTCGAATATTTTTAATCTCCACGAAATCACAAATAGACGAACAGGTTAACTCTGACATTCACGTTGGTACATATATCGGATTTATATAGCGAAATATATACAATGTGTAAATACAAAGGAAAGGGGTGTTAGTTAGAATGCTTATATCTCAAGAATGGCTGCACCGATTTTGACAAATTTTGTCAATTCAGAATGCCCTCTTGGCATAATAGTATAAAATCTAAAAAATCGCATAAAAATATGCCAATAATGATGCTAATATAGATTTTGTCGTATTTTGTGACATCTTTATTTATTTTTTCATATTTTTTATCGCATGCGATTTTTGTATATTTTGTAATATTTTTTACCTTTCAACACAGGTTGGGGTTATTATATACAGATTGCAATTATGGTCCGATCTTCACGAAAATTTTCACAAGGGTATGGTTAGGCTCAGAATAGCTAGGCCTATTGTTTTCAAATATGTTCGCAATATATTTAGTTAAGAAAATCTTAAAATTAAAGTATTGGGATTGAATATAGCGTTCACTTAGAGTTTTGTGGAATCGGAATAATAATAATAATAATAATAATAATAATAATAATAATAATAATAATAATAATAATAATAATAATAATAATAATAATAATAATAATAATAATAATAATAATAATAATAATAAACAATTTTGAATGCATATAAAATCAAAGGGGGTAAGGTAGGGTTCAGTTTGTACATTTTATGACCTACAGAGTATGTACATTGATAAAGTGGGTTGATAAAAATTTAATCAAAAACGTTTCAACTGTTTTGGCGAATTTAAGTTGTTTCGGTCGCTTTAGTCACAATTTCAAACCTCATTTCATTTAAATTGGCGGTTTAATTTCACAGTATGCAGAAAATATCCATGCAGACAACTGTCTGAATAGGTCCAATATGTAGTTTTGCAGAAGTCCCCATATATTAGTACCACTAAATATTTCAAATTTAGAATTGGGACTTCGAAATAAGTACTGTTTCTCATGACAGTAAATTGCATGTACAGATCCACGTCTTCGTATTGCTCCCATATAATATTAATTTCCTTTTGTTCGATAGTTCCACTTATTAGTCACATTATTTCAAATTTAAATTTTAAAGTTTGCTATAGGCACTATAATTTTAGTGGTGATTTTATCAAATAATTTGTTTTATATTTTGCAAGTTCCTTCCTTTCTTGAATCGTCTGTCCAGCCCGCACACAACTGCATCATTTCACACCTACCCAACTCACACCCGAAAATCTTGGAATGCACACATTAAGGTACTCCACGCGTCTGTCACTAAACAAGTGAGCATAGGTTTTAGTCGTGCGGGTCCGACCATGTGATACCTTACAACACTTCTGTTTTTGGTTCATTTGAACTTCTAAATATTTTGCGATCATCTCCAAATGCAAGAGCCCTCTCTGTATTTCCAAATGTAGACTCATTCATAGGATTTCAGGAACATTTTTAGTTGTTGGTCCATGTAAACCCCTAAATATGTTGAGAAACATTTATAACAACAATGGGCATAGCCCTTCTGAGCCTAACCCTTATGAACATTTTCGTGAGGTTCGGACGATAATTGTAATCTGTATATAATAACCCCAACCTGTGTTGTAAGGTGAAAAAATATTACAAAATATACACTTCAATATTATAAGTCAAACTGAAAAAATCGCATGCGATAAAAATATGAAAAAATAAAATATATAACGAAATACTACAAAATCTATATTAGCATCATTATTGACATCTTTTTATGCGATTTTTTTAGATTTTATACTTTTATGCCAAGAGGGCATTCTGAATTGAGAAAATTCTTTGTATATACACATTGTATATATTTCGCTATATATATCCGATATATTTACTATCGGCATCTACGTACCGGTCAAAATTGGCCTTTTTCTTCTATTTGTGATTTTGCCGGAATTAAAAATATTCGGGGTTTAATGAAAATTTTACTTTTATTTAACACAAATGTTATGGCCTATTTCACCCACTAAATATTCCCCGACGACCATCCAAATTGGAAGGCTTCTGCCCAACCCTAAGCTCTAGTCCCAATTGCGAACTGTAGACCAACTGCAACTTCAGGAAATTTTTCAGTTGTTTGGTCCATTTCAACCCCTAAATATTATGCGATAATCTCCAAAAGCAATAGGCTTCTATTCTGACCTAACCCCACTTCAATTTTCAATTTCGTGAGGATCGAGTCATAATTGCGACCTCTAGCGTGATTATAAATTAACATGGACAGACAAGCGGACGGATATACATAGCTAAATCGACTCAGGTCGACGAGATATGAAGATCCATATGTCTTTCCTTTATGGGAAACTAATATTTCGAGGTGTTACATAATTTTTGGCCCAATGAAAGTTTTAATACCCCCAACACATAGTGTTTTAGGGTGTAAAAATAAATGTACGCCCCATCTTACTGTCCACCAATATTTCCACTGTGATATTTATAAATATTTATATTGGGCATATAGCGCCAATTACGTAACATTGCTTCATTCATTACTGACAAAATATTTAACCTACAACAACAATATCATATCTTCGGCAAGGCAGTACAATGTCTATTTTATGACAAAATTATGATAAAATATTTTATCTCAAAACGAGATTATTATAATTTTATGCTTATTCAATGCATATGTAACAATGGAACGTAAACAACAGTTGGAGACAAAATAAATATTTCCAAGTATATAGACATAAATAGCAGCAATAATTCAAATTCAATGGCATAATATGGTTTTTGTGATCGATTGACGAATTTTATTGCTTTTTTGCAAAGCTCATAAAAAAATCCATATTAATTAACGAAGGGTACACAAGAGGGTGGATATGTGCACTAGTGGTAGCCAGATTTTTTACGATTTAAAAGGTAGCAATAAATATATCACACTTCAATAAAATTATTTTTTTTTTTTAATGTAACAATCCGTTAGGATTTATATACAACCATTTAAAATATTTGACTATCGCAAAGGCTACAAAAATAAACAGTAGAAACTTGGACTTGAAACTGTTAGGGGGTGAGAAGCTTAAACAGAATCGTAGATTAAAATGAGATATATTAATATTTACAAAAATTGTATCTCTATATTTGAAAGTACTATTACGATATACAAAATCGGTTTACGCTCTGGGAGAGTTCCAGAACACTCTAGCGCGTCAGACTGAGAAACGTGATTTGGCCAGACATGTATAGGATCTAGAACCATTTGTTCAATTCGTATAAGGCTGTACTAAAGAGAATTTACTCCCTTTATTCAAAACGACTGAATTAAATTGTAATTTGATGATAACTTAGTTCAAAGTCGATCATGCGTAATATGTATTAAATTTTATATGCATCGTTTGTTTTCAGACGGGCAGCGTATAGCAGTAACTCCAGATATTCAATATTTTAATCATGTTGCTATATATATCTACTTGCTGTCCTGGTCCTCGATGCTGGTCCTTAGTTTTAGTGCTAAATTAATATCTATACAGGGTGAGATAAAAAAACTGCAAATGAATTACTTCGAAAAGTAAAAAAGCGACTT